TCAATCTCTAACGTTATTCACGTGTTGTAGGTCTAACAAAAAAAACTAACGTCATTCACATGTTGTAGATCTAACAAAAAACTAACGTTATTCACGTGTTGTAGGTCTAACAAAAAAACTCTAACGTTATTCACGTGTTGTAGGTCTAACAACATATCTCTAACGTTATTCACATGTTGTAGGTCTAACAAAAAACTAACGTTATTCACGTGTTGTAGGTCTAACAAAAAAACTCTAACGTTATTCACGTGTTGTAGGTCTAACAAAAAACTAACGTTATTCACATGATGCAGGTCTAACAACATATCTCTAACGTTATTCACGTGTTGTAGGTCTAACAAACCAATCTCTAACGTTATTCACATGTTGTAGGTCTAACAAAAAACTAACGTTATTCACGTGTTGTAGGTCTAACAAAAAAACTCTAACGTTATTCACGTGTTGTAGGTCTAACAACATATCTCTAACGTTATTCACGTGTTGTAGGTCTAACAAAAAACTAACGCTATTCTCGTGTTGTAGGTCTAACAAAAACTCTAACGTTATTCACGTGTTGCAGGTCTAACAAAAACTAACGTCATTCACATGTTGTAGGTCTAAGAAACCAATATCTAACGTTATTCACATGTTGTAGGTCTAACAAAAAAAACTAACGTTATTCACATGTTGTAGGTCTAACAAACCAATCTCTAACGTCATTCACATGTTGTAGGTCTAACAAAAAACTAACGTTATTCACGTGTTGTAGGTCTAACCAAAAAATAACTCTAACGTTATTCCTTAGTTTTTTTGTTAGACCTACAACACGTGAATAACGTTAGAGATTGATTTGTTAGACCTACAACACGTGAATAACGTTAGAGATTGGTTTGTTAGACCTGCATCATGTGAATAACGTTAGAGATTGATTTGTTAGACCTACAACATGTGAATAACGTTAGAGTTTTTTTTGTTAGACCTACAACACGTGTGAATAACGTTAGAGATTGGTTTGTTAGACCTACAACACGTGAATAACGTTAGAGATTGGTTTGTTAGACCTACAACACGTGAATAACGATGTTGTAGGTCTAACAACATATCTCTAACGTTATTCACATGTTGTAGGTCTAACAAAAACTAACGTTATTCACATGTTGTAGGTCTAACAAAAAAATTAACGTTATTCACGTGTTGTAGGTCTAACAACAAAAAAACTCTAACGTTATTCACATGTTGTAGGCCTAACAAAAAAAAAACTAACATGTTGTTGGTTTAACAAAAAACTCTAACGTTACTGTCTTGTAATGATTAAGGTATTGATTTAAACTGATTTATTATGAATTTAACCAATCACAAAAGTACTGAAACTGTTAAATTATGAGTGTTGTAGTTATTATGTTTAAAGGAGTCGATAATTAAACACATGTATTAAATATTTCGACATTAGTGTAAACACACGAAAGTATGAAAACAATCGTTTTAACACAAGATGAATCATTGCTTAAGTCAGTTTTTCGAAATTGTTTTTGGGATTTGCCGAAAGAATTTCAAAAGTGTCTTATTATTTTTTTCTCTGCGGGAAGAGGGCGTGTTCGTTGTCAGTTTTGTGATGTGTATCAAGTTTTTTTCTCTTTTTTTTTTGGAGGAGGGGGATATTAGAAATAAAATAAATACGTAAAAAAACGTGGGAACTCGTCTGTAGATTAAATTATGACATTTATAGAGGTTGCATTAAAACGTCGAAGCCAAACAATGCGACGTTATCATGTTGCTCACAAAGAAAGATAAAAAAAATCCAATGGCAGCTTAATTGTAGCAGTCTGGTCTGTTAACTATAAGAAACTAAACTGGTCGTTATCTGGGAATACTGAGGTTATGAACTCACTTCCTATGATCACATCGTAACTCATCTTCCAGCCTGTTCAACAACTTTGGCAACTCAATAGTGAATCCTTCATTCTCAGATCCAACTGATTCTGAAACTTCTAACCCACGGTCCTTCGCCACCTGTCGGCGCAGGTAGAAAATGTAGTCTTTTGCACTCGAGTGCTGCGGCCTTGAAGAGGGCTGTAACGAAAGAATGGGATTACATAGTTGTGTGTGTGTGTTAAAACGGCTGGAAGTCAACAGTTTATTTCGTGATATTAATAGGCACTTGAGAAACGAAAGATGTTTAAAGAAATTAAGTTATCCTCAGTTTGACCTAATCAGTGCTGTTAGTATTAATGTCACAGAAACAACAATGGAAACGAAAAACTACCTAAAACCTTTTATATTATTATGTGGAAATTAAAATAAATAATCTAATAATCATGATATCCGGTGACAGACGGAAGAAGCAAAAACTTCCGGTAATTCGGGAGCTTCTAACGCTAAAATACGGGATTCGATACCTGCGAACAAAGTGTCTAGTATAAATCGGCCAATAATTTCTTATTTGATCATGTGATTCAGTACATAAACTTCTCATACCTGTATTGGTTCCGATGTTTCATTTCTCACGAACACCTGCAGCTTAAGGTCTCTGTCCTCATCTTCTGGAACCATCTCGTGATCATCTCCCCAGAACCGAAATCCTAAAGAAACGTTTAGCACGACAAATTATAACGGGAGAGAGAGACGCCCCCCCCCCGACCTTGTAACTTAAACGTTTAAAAGACAACTTCAAGCTGGAGTTAGAAATATTTAACTTATCTCCCCCTCCCACACACTGTGTGTAAAGAACTGACTAAAAGAGTTGACGAAAGCTCTGATTTCCTCTTTCTTGAATACTGTGTGTAAAGAACTGACTAAAAGAGTTGACGAAAGCTCTGATTTCCTCTTTCTTGAATACTGTGTGTAAAGAACTGACTAAAAGAGTTGACGAAAGCTCAGATTTCCTCTTTCTTGAACACTGTGTGTAAAGAACTGACTAAAAGAGTTGACGAAAGCTCTGATTTCCTCTTTCTTGAACACTGTGTGTAAAGAACTGACTAAAAGAGTTGACGAAAGCTCTGATTTCCTCTTTCTTGAACACTGTGTGTAAAGAACTGACTAAAAGAGTTGATGAAAGCTCTGATTTCCTCTTTCTTGAACACTGTGTGTAAAGAACTGACTAAAAGAGTTGACGAAAGCTCAGATTTTCTACGTATTCAAGGTAGTGGATGTGAGTGTGTATTTTTATTATTTTCTATGAAGGCTGACTAGACTGACATAGGCGTGTAGATTTTGGTTGCTACAACCACAGACATTATCCGTTATGAGTACACGTTGACAACCAGGGCCGATAACAGTATTGCGATATATATATTTGTGTGTGTGTAAAGTGGATGCCAGTGATGGTACTTGTGTGCTTATGACTCGCAGAATGTTAGGAACCCTGTAGCCAACAGTTGACTCTGTTTTTGTCTGTAGTTAAGCACAAAGATACACAATGAGTTGACTGTGCTATGCCCATCTGGTTCTCAGCGTTATAAGGCTTCAGACTTACTGCTGGGCCATTCGTTAATTAATAGTGACACAACGGCATGTCTTCGGACTTACAACGCTAGAAACCGGGTTTCGATACCCGTGGTTGACAGAGCATAGATAGCCCATTGTGTAACTATGTAATTTTAAGGTTAAGCACATGTTAAAAGTTGTGCGAGAATAGCCTGGTTGAAATGTTGACTGTTTAGAAAATGAATCTATCTTGTTTATATTTCATTTGTTTTGTAGAATTTGTTTCAGTTTTAATTTTAATCAGTGTTTTTTTTTTATGACTTCTTTGATATGTATGTAAAAGATGTAACTTTCCAAACAAATTTGTAATTCAACGCTCCAAATGCTGCGCACGCAACTTTCAAATTCTGCACATGCGCTTTACGATCCGACGAAGAACGCTAACTCGAAATGTTATCTTCCCGAAAACTTGTATAAAACTTGTTGATTTTATAACCTGTTCGTTTATTTGTATAATATCACACGCGTCTCTCTCTCTGCTCTCAAAGAAAGTGAAACTAGCTGACGCGAGGGGAAGGGGGGAGCAGATCCGAACGCTGTCGCCACTATGTCATTCTCCGGGTGTCAGCAGTTCTTCACTTATACAGAATTTTGTCACATAATAGTTTAGGTAAAAAGGCAAAGTTTCTGCTCTCTAGGCTTATTAAGTAACAGAATGGGTGATAGATATCACGAACGTCTGTTCTGATGTAAATAAGATATCACGGACTGTTGTTCTCGAATTACACGAGGGCTATCTGCGCTAGCCGTCGCTAATTTAGCAGTCTAAGACAGCTAGTCAACACCATCCACCGTTTTGTTTGTTCCCTGTAGATCTCGTCACTTCAATATTCCGTCTCACTGACTTAATTTTTACCGTCAGTTTTTCAGACTATTCCATAGAGGGAGCTAGTTTTTACTCCATATTTGGACTGTACACTAACACAACCCAATTAAAGTGCGTTTTGTTAGTAAGTTACACAACGGCTATCTGTGCTCTGGCCACCAATTTCAGCATTAAAAGCCCTCAAACTTGCCGCTGAGTCACTGGAGGGAGGGGCATTAAGTGAGTTACAGCAGCGACTGTGTTTTACATCCAAGTATGAAAATATATCTATTAACGTTGTTAGTTTAAAGTTTATTGTATTTTCACCACCGCTGGACGTAAGAAAAAAGTGACTTACAAAAATTAAACTAACAAAAGTGTACTTTATTAAAGTTCAAAAATCAAGAAAATATATGGAAATAAGTTAATCCTTTTCCAGCTCACAAGTGGGGGTAACATCCCACTTCGTGTACCCCCATTGACAATAGATTATATACGGTCATCAGGTTGTCAAATATAAAATAAGGTTTAGATATAAAAATAACTTTGGCACAGTTTTAGAATCAAACCATTTTTGTGTTCATATTGTTTACAATATGATATAATAGACTTTTAAACCATTTTTTATATATACATTACACACATACGCTACAAGTATATCACATGAAAAAAACCTAGCTTGTTCTCAATAAATTATAATACTGCTTTAAAGTTTTTTCATTTATAATAAAATGGCATACCAAGTTTACAGAAAAATATATAATATTTATTTTAGTATATGATTACATTAGACTAAATGGGAATAAACCGGATGAGGATGGTGGATCCCAGTCGATCGCAGGTTAACTTCGAGTTAAGTTTAAAGAGTACAACATCTAAAATATACAGAACACGGGGTTTTGTAATCAAGAATCATCCAGTGTTCTTTGATATCTTTACAATACTGTACATAGAGACGTGAAATATTTCTTGACATGTTAAAAGAAGGAACTGAAGCGCTCTTTTCCTATTACATCGATGTATACTGATCAAGTAGTTTAAATTCTGCAAACATCAACTTGTAGGCCAATGACATCAACGATCATTCAAACATGACCACTCCAGAACTAGGCCTAACGACCCAAGAGTGCAGGAACTGATTTTTCTTTATAAGTGCGGGTTTCAGTCCTGTGTTTGGTGTATTTACTACGCCTGTAGCAAGAACCTAACGACTGGGTTTTAAAGTCTCGGTAAACATTAGAGGTGGGGGGGGGGGTCTAGAAGTGTCGCAAAGTTGAAGATACGAGTCCGGCAGCCTAAAAATCGTCTAATTCTAAACATACTACTGTTATAAAGCTTTGAATGCGTGCTAGAGACAACCTGAGTTCAAGGTAACACAATCACAAGCTAGGTTCACTTTACGTAATAGTTTGTCAGTGTGTTAGCAGGTAGATGATGTATTATCAAGATAAGCTTTTCTTTCTTTGTTCTGCCCCTCACAATCATAAGCTACGCCTCCTACAGCCGCGGGCTAAAGGCATACAATCAAGGACAGCGACCCCTGGAACACTGAAGGCGGACGATTTCATTACATTCACCTGTGATTGGTGTTAGTTTTGTCACTTCCTCTATATCTACCCCCTGTAAACTTCACGTCTTAACTTAAAAGAATCGGTTAAATAAACAACGCGCCACGAAAATAATAGGATGGTGTTTTATTCTACACATTATTTTAAATACGGTATTTTTAAAACCTTTCTGTTGTTGAGCATTGTGACGTTGTGTCGAAATTGACCAGCAGAATATTTTCAGTTTTCATATTGAAATGTTCCTCGGTGAGTCAGTGGTAAGTTTACAGACCCAAAACACTAAAATCCAAGTTTCGATTTCCTGCAGAGCGTAACCTTGCGTAAAACAGCAACAACAGTATATCTAAATATTCACCCACACTTTAAAGATACTTTTTTCATTCGGTTTATTTTTAACAAACGAAACTGTCGGATGTCTGTGTATAATCTCTCTACAGGGATATTACCTGTCACATCTGTGACTACTGATTCAGATCACTAGATCTTCGTCACAGAAACACAAACAAACAGTGTTAGGTTGATCATTACTGTGTCAGTTAAAAAGACAGGAATGCGGGTTAATGTGGGGCCCGACGTGACCTAGCTGGTTAGCGTTTCGGGCTGCGTATAGAAAAGTCCAAGGTTCGAACTGTGATATATTACTTCTCGGCTTTCGTATTTTCAGTTATTGGGGCATCACAACTGTTAAAGACAATCCTATTATTGATATTTGGTTAGTAATTGCCGCGTAGGCGGCGAATGCTGCTGAGGGTTCCCTCTCTCTGGTATGCAATTCTAATTTAGTGAAGGCTATATTTGAACCTTCGTATCGATTACTTATCCTTTCAGCCTCTAGGGGGCGTTCATGTTGAGAATACGAAATGAATGATATTGTACGAAAATTATTTTTTAATAACTTTTATCAAATACATACCTTACAAAAAGAACTCTTCTTCGTGCAAGTTTTCTACTTCATTCATGACCTCTTCGCAAGTTGATTACCTTATTGAATTATTCCTCATTGAATACAACAATTGAAATAAATACCAACAGGTTTTCTTTTTGTAGTATTGTCCTGAAACACACATTTCTTGAGGAGAGGAAGTATAAGGTTAGATGTTTTATTATATGTGGTACTCGAGATTGGTACATCTTGAGATGCTATTAATTCAAACATGAAACATCTTTGCTCATTGGACAACTTCCACACAACAAAACATCATGACAACACAAAATAACATCACTCTAAGAATGTCTAACAATAGAACAGAACGTCGTGGCGACAAAAAGTAACATCACTCCAAGAATGTCTAACAATAGAACAGAACGTCGTGGCGACAAAAAGTAACATCACTCCAAGATGTCTAACAATATAACAGAACGTCGTGGCGACAAAAAGTACCATCACTCCAAGATTGTCTAACAATAGAACAAAACATCGTGACAACAAAAAGTAACGTCACTCCAAGAATGTCTAACAATACGACAAAACATCGTGACAACAAAAAGTAACGTCACTCCAAGAATGTCTAACAATACGACAAAACATCGTGACAACAAAAAGTAACATCACTCCAAGAATGTCTAACAATACGACAAAACATCGTGACAACAAAAGAGTAACATCACTCCAAGAATGTCTAACAATAGAACAGAACGTCGTGGCGACAAAAAGTAACATCACTCCAAGAATGTCTAACAATACGACAAAACATCGTGACAACAAAAAGTAACGTCACTCCAAGAATGTCTAACAATACGACAAAACATCGTGACAACAAAAGTAACGTCACTCCAAGAATGTCTAACAATAGGGTGATCTTTCTGTGTAATTTTATTCTTATTTAAACACGTGTAACACAAACTGTAAGGTATATACAGAAAAAACAGAAGGACAATCGTAGTCCAATCATTAAACCTTGGAAAAACTAATTTAAATCGTTCTATTGTTAGACATTCTTGGAGTGATGTTACTTTTTGTTGTCACGATGTTTTGTGAGTTTTGATTGTTTTAACTTAACTATCTCTTTGGAGAAATTTGTTAGCTTCAAGAGATATGTGAACACGTTTGGATTAGCCCCTAGCGTTAAAAAGTACAACTATTTTAGTACTTATAACATTGCACAGTTTACACCTTTCACTCTGTTTTTGTTGTATTTTTTGTCTAGTTAACGCTAACAGTTCACTGTCTTCTCTTATTGACAAGATAATTAAAACTGTTAATTTAAAAAGGGGGATAAAGATAGTCAAAAAAGTACAGAAACAAGTTGAATCAAAATGCAAAAATTATATTTACAAGCCTACAACTAGGGACTCTAAAAAGTAAACAAACAAGACTGGGAATAGAATATAATCTTTCAAGCTACAAATCTCTGTTTTGACTCCATGTTTATTGTACTTATCAATTTCAGTGGAGTCAAAATAGGGATTTGTAGCTTCAGAAAATAATATATACACTATTACCAGCACAGTTCAGCTGTCTGCTTGTTTCTTTAAGATATAATTCCTTCTGTAACACATTTAATGACAGTAAACAACCAGTTTCGTTTAAAATTTTTAGAGCTTCGTCAGGACATCATTAAGGGTTAATAAACAAACAAGATTGTAAACATATTTAACAAAAATGACTCGCATTACATTTAACAAATAACACAAGCATGCGTATCAGAACTTCATAATTGTCATGGAGCAGAGTGTCAACTGTATTTCGAAGACAACTGATATCTATAATAATAAAAGGGCGTGTCTGTGTGACCAAGATGGCTCCAAGAGGAAAAAACCTAAAATTTTGTGCCATATTAAGTGAACCCTGAGGGTGTGCACCTGGGTATTGTTGCTTATCTTATCCACGTGCGTGCGCGCATGCGAATCTTTTTCATGAGAAAAGCTAGCAAAAACTACATATAAAAGAAGTGGTTCCTTATATAACAACTTTAAATATATAGAAAAGCCAGTGAGTTTTTGGTAACAATGCGTTTCAACAATGGCTCTTATATCATGTTGCTTAGCAACAAAATTATATAGGTTATACTTTTATGCTAAAATGGGTTCAGAACACACACAATATCAATCTAATAACCCGAGCGAAGCCGGGTACTTTCGGTAGTCGTGAATAACTAAAAAAAGTATAAAAATGAGAGTCTGTGATCCACAAAAGTATTTGAGCCATTTTGAAATGAATACTAAGTCGCGGTCATTACAAGGTTATTGAAAACTTAGAATAACTCAAAGTGACGGATCTGGCAATTCGGAGGTTTTCTGTACTATGTCCAACACAGAGATCAAGCCCCGAATTTTGGTGTTATAAGCCATCAAGCTGCGGCTGGGACACGAGGGGGGGGGGGTCAGAGATTTCGAAGTGGTTAAAAGAACTTTAGTAGAGTCTACTTCAAAAAAGGTATATGTTTTTATCCATAAATTGACTCAAGAGAGAGAAACAGTAATACTTTTCAATTGTCTTCTTAGTAATGCATTTGCAGACTGCAACTGTCTGATGGATTCTACTGTTGTTGTTTTTACAGACTGCAACCGTCCGATGGATTTCATGTTGTGTTTTTTCGGACTGCAACCGTCTGATGGGTTTCATTGTTGTTGTTTTTACAGACTGCAACCGTCTG